AAAACTCCCTAATAGCCGCCGCAGACAGCAACGCATCGTTTCCGATTGTTTGCGAACGCCGTTTTTGCGTCTTCGCACTCGGCGCACTCCGGAGATCGTCCGAATGAGCCAGGTTGCGACCAAAAGTGATCGTATGAATACGAGCTTGATCCCACTGAACTATGGCTGGTACCAGCCAACTCGTCCAAATTATCCTATTTACCCAATCAAAGAAGGTCTAATTAGTGAACTTTTATTTTAGTAAGGTAACCGCGAAACGCTGAGCAGTAATCACGACTTTCAGTACCTCTCATATGTTCTTATATAAACAAAACTCCAGCGGCATATGGTGAAGTTCACATAGGTTAGTAAATGTCGCAGTTGCTAACTTTTTGCCGCCTTTCTTTTTCACAAAGTATACCTTTGATTGAAGTGTAAAAAAGACAGAGAAGTGACAGTGTACCAAAAAGAGAGAAACTTACCTCTGTGCATATGCGACGCACCCTGTTAGCTTTATCAATTATACTTTGGTTGTTCCAGCATTCCAAAATAACATTTCTGGGTATTCATGTGTGTGTATATAGTAGATATAACTACAAATTGTTACCAGCACCACTCATATAGTTAGCACTTCATAGCCTGTATAGCACTTTGTGATTGGCTAACTGTGGCTAACACTGCATGGCCAACAGCTTCGAATTTTAATTACTGGGAATTCGGTACTAAGCTTCTTTGCGCCTTTTTGACATTTAGTTAGAAGGGCATGCAAGGATTTTGAGAGAGAGAGAGAGAAAGAGAGACAGAGAGCAGCCTGAGAACTCTCAGTGCCAGCACTGGTAACTGTGAGTGATCTACACACTTCCTTTTCAATCTCGTGGGTTAACATATTGTCACGGGGCCGTCACGTGGGCCAGGGGAGCAGACTCGATGTTCTGATGAAAACTGTTTATTTGATTGATTGACTGATATGTGGGGTTTGACGTCCCAAAACCACCATGTGATTATGAGAGACGCCGTAGTGGAGAGCTCCGGAAATTTTGACCACCTGGGGTTCTCTAACGTGCACTAAAATCTGAGCAAATGGGCCTACAGCATTTCCGCCTCCATCGAAAGTGCAGCTGCCGCAGCCGAGATTCGATCCCGCGACCTGCGGGTCATCAGCCGAGTAACTTAGCCACTAGCCCACCGCGGCGGGGCACGGTTTACTTGGCCGAACTTGTGGCCACAAACAGAAAATCAATTTACAGCAACACACTGCCACTGAATACGGCGAACAGAGTGCCGGCCGTCGATCAACTTACAAACGGTGAAGCGCGTCGGCCTTTATACAGGTGCCGTTGAATATTCCAGTCTTATCACTGGACGTCGCACAAGCTCTGGAATAATCTCGACTGATCGCGTCTTGCTTGCAATCTTAATAGAGTGACCTACAATGATCGGGAACGTTCTCGAACAACGAAACAAAGCTGATGCTTAGCCTTCCCGACAGGCTCTTTAACATAATGAAACAAAAGTCAAAATAAGAAACGACCGTTGCATTATCGTCAATTAAAAATAACGAATAACTTGAGCGTAACCAGACCTCACCTTGATTGATTGATATGTGGGGTTTAACCTCCCAAAACCATGATTTTAAGAGACGCCGTAGTGTTCGGCTCTGGAAATTTGGACCACCTGAAGTCTTTCAATGTGCACCCGAATTCGAGCACACGGGCCTACAGCATTTTTGCCTCCATCGAAAATGCAGCCGCCGCAAACAGAATTTGATCTGGTGACCTGCGGCTCAGCAGCCGAGTACCATAGCCATTATATACCATGGCGGCGGGGCCAGCACTCGCTTTTCAGGAGGTGTTATACTACTCTTCGAACGTGCTTATAAAATACGCTGACATGTGGAAAGCAAAGTTAAATGTTGACGTGCGGCTTCACGTTTGTTTAGACCGATGTGCACCGCCAAAGTTCTGCACAATGATTCTTAGATAAAGCGCATGCTCTCGAATACATTCTGAACGAAAGGCTTTGGTGTTGTGTTACCTCGGTAAAGTAAATTAGCGTATACTTTTAGATGCGAAGCAGCTCTTCGATTAGCCTGTGTAACGCTGTCCGTCCATCCGCACCGCTTTTCTCGCCGCAGGTGTTGGAGCGGTGCCAAGTAACTCACGCCCTCCTACCAGGGCGCGGTGACGTCTTTCTCCTTTGCCTGCCGCGCGCTCGCCGCGTGTCAGCTCTTTAACGCATCATCCTCTCCACCACTCGCAGCGCTTGAGCCCTCTCACGTGGTCATCATCTTACCCGTGCCACCGCTCTCCATCTGTCGGCGACAATCCGTGGGCAGGTGAGTGCGTGCGCTGCGCGCACCTTGACAATCTTGTGGCGCCGACAATGTGAACAGCGCGCCGCTACTTGCCGCACGATCGCGCCGACGGGCGGGGCGCCGTCTCGGCATGCTTCCCGCTAGAGTGTGCATACCTTTCCCAGCTTTCGCCGGCGTGGCGAGGGTTAGAGAGGCCGATCGTGTTCGCGAATGCCGACGTCAACACTGACGAGGCGCGAGCCAGGGAAGCCGGACACAAGCGTCGGCAGTGGAAGACCAGCGACACCGATGAGGTGCGAGTCAAGAACACCGATCGCGTTCGAGAATACAGACGGCGCGTGGGTACACCGACAAGACGCGAGCCAAGGAATCCAAGTGCAAGTGTCTTCAACGCGTCCCGTTTACCGTGTCTTTGCGTTTCAAACAAACGTTTACCCGAGTAAACACTACACCGAGTTTCGATTGAAACCGTTCTTCCAGCACCCGCGTCGACACCCATTTCAACCGGGTCAACGCCGTGCACACCACTGCTGCTTCACATCACATCAGGATTGCCTTCGGGGAGATGGTTCATAGTTTTTTTTTTTTTACGGTAGAAGGGGGAAGACGAAAAATAGTTTTTGTACTTAGTGTGTTTTCTTATCCCGTGAAAAAGCTTTTGCTATTGAGCACGCCGTGGTACATAGAAATTTAAAATGCTGGACATGCGAGCCATGTCACTTCAACACTTCACGTGTCAACAGTATACCACTGTACGACACATTGTACGACACATTATAGCGAGCGGAGAAAACTGCCATGGCGAAGGTTGTCATTTCCCGTCAGAACTTTCGCCTCTCATCTTAAGGAACACGCATCTATTTCCCGAGCTAGCGGTGTTACAGAACTCAATAAGAACGCACGATATGATCCTGCATAGAGCTTGGCTTGGATGCATCGCAATAAAGTAAACACTGATGCAGTAGTTTGTTATTCCTAAAAATATCATGACGTTATAGCAGTTTACCTATATCGTACGGTGGCAGAATATTTTAGCTAGCCCCCTGGGCAGCCGAAGCTGGCTTTTCCACAAATTGATGGCACATCAGTAGTTTCACGAATCGCGTTAGATTTTATAACACTTTTGTGACGTTTGTGCATATTTTGAAAAAGGGCAATAGTTATTGTCAAACTAATATGTAGCATTCCTCATACAAATGCAGGCTTATCATGCACGGCCATGATCAGCGGTTAAATTTTGAAAACTACACACAAAAATACCCAGCTTGCACTGGGTCACGCAAGGCTGGCGCAGAGCATAGCTGGTCACCAGTCGGCTGGTTCTGGCTTCACTAGGCCAGCGCCTCTATTTTATTAAAGCCAGCCAGATGCGCCCGATACAGCCGTTCACCACTCTCTCCTCTAACCCTGTCCTGCTCTCTCCCGTCGCCTAGCCTTCGCGAGTGCTTTGCAGTCATGGGAGAGAGAGCCCATCATGTAGTGCCTCACGACGGAAATCATGTGAAGTAATTCTTTGTTAAGTTGTCTGCAGTGTGTGGGGCGGCGTTTTGCATTCCTCGTGTTCATAAAGTTGGTTGTCACGCTGGCGCTGTAAAAGAAACGGTGTTTTGAGATAGCGTGTCGCCGTTCGTGGCGCTATGCGGGCAACCAATGGGGAAGCGTCACTGCAACGATACCACATGCGCTGCGCCGTGATGCGGTGGCGGCGTTGCCTTCGAGCCATAAAAAAGGAGCCGGAAGGAAGAAATTTGACAGACGCATGATACTGGAGTGGGAAACACGTCTATCGCATCTCTGGGGCAGCGCCTCCTCTGGGAAAAAGCACTTACACGCACGTGTGATGCGAGCGGCGCTACCCTTTATGTCGTGCCGCATCATGACCACACCCTGAACATAGGCGGACTGACGGCTCTCGCTGAGAAGCGCTTGCTTGCATTGGCAGTGAAAGAAATAAAGGAGGCTCTGATTACGCACTCGTGCATTCACATGCCGGTACAAGCTTCGCAATCGCGCAACCATGTAAATTATTCAACTTAGTTACGCATAATAGCTAGGTTAATTACATTATTTAAAATAATTGACACTGCACCGTTTAGGCTTGATTTTGTTAGCTTGTACCATAGGTCAATCTATCAATAACTACAATTTAACTAGCTTAATTAGACTAATTACATTGTTAACATTTATTATACGAGGCTTGTATATAGCCCCGCCGCGGTGGTCTAGTGGCTAAGGTACTCGGCTGCTGACCCGCAGGGCGCGGGTTCGAATCCCGGCTGCGGCGGCTGCATTTCCGATGGAGGCGGAAATGTTGTAGGCCCGTGTGCTCAGATTTGGGTGCACGTTAAAGAACCCCAGGTGGTCTAAATTTCCGGAGCCCTCCACTACGGCGTCTCTCATAATCATGTAGTGGTTTTGGGACGTTAAACCCCACATATCAATCAATTACGAGGCTTGTATTATGTTTGCGAAATAAGAAGGCTGTATATCTTGACCAAAGCAACGGTCAGGTCACGTGACGAGCTGAAAAATTGACGCATGTGCGTTTTTTTCACATTATCAGCATCACTATCAACCGGCCTGGGAACAAACTTGGCTGATAACAAGAAAGAAAACTGCTTTCTTTCGCCACGAGCAGAATGCAAAGCCCTTTCTTGCTTGCTGGCACGACACCTCCCCTTTTCGTCCTTCTCCCCTGCGCAGCACACGCTTCAGTTGACTTCAGTTCGGCAGGAAAGGTGTAGGAACGCACTGGTTTCGAGCCAGCCCGCCTATGGTCCTGTCAGTGTGGAGACTGGGATCGGCAGTATTGGGCCCGTAGTTGCATAACTGAATAACTCGGTTGCTTCGAAGAACTCAAAATGATCAATACTGAGTTAATTCAGTGGGTTAAAACCTTCTTGACAGGACATAAGAAGACCGAACAAGAATGCACCGACAGCCCATCCCCGGTGCAGTTGACCGTCTATGACAGGAAAGCACCAGAAGTAAGTTCGCTGTTTCTAGTAGTTTTTTTCCTGAAGTCAAAAATGTACCGGGATAGTTGCCATGACTAGCCACTTCGATGTTTTGCCAATGCATTTGGGTTAGCACGAGCTTATAGCACAAGAAATATTGCCGACCCGAAAGTTTTTATGAAACCCGACGTGGCCAAAATGAACCTAGATTCTTTCACTATGGTGTTGTTCACAATCATGTCGTCGTTTTCGCACGCAAAAGCCCAGAATGGCACAATACCGAGCTCTTTCAGAGGACCCAGAACATCACAATGGTCAGCAGCGACAGCAGTTGCTTCCGTTGCTAACCTGCATGTTCCTCCTCAGTTGCAGTCAAATAAGAATGAAAAACGTTGTTCTTGTTCGTGAACTGGTTTTGAACAAGCGAGGATTTTAGTTCACAGCCATTTGCTACCGTTAAAGCAGTTTTCAGCTTTTGTGAATATTTCTGCACGTTTGAGCATTGCCTCATCTAATCATATATCGGGAAAATCGTTTTATTCTCCACGTAAAGTGTCCTGCCAATGTGGAGTGCTCACAATCGCTCCATGTACGATGGCGAACGTGGATTTGTGCGTGCGGTGATGTAGAATACTTGCAGTTTTTTTTGCTGTGTTACATTAGCTGTTGGGGAGTAATAGTTTGAGCGTACGCTGCGTATTGCGTGTGTACTTTGTTAGCTGTATCGGCAGCGGCGTGATTATATGTGCAGATATATGCGTTATGCATTTTTTGTTTGTGTGTGTGTGTGTGTGTGTGTGTGTGTGTGTGTGTGTGCGTGCGAGCGTGTGCGCGTGCGTGCGCCCGCTTTTTCACACTGCAACTTGGGCAAGTTGGTTGTAACGGCGCACCGCCCCCACAAAGAGGAACACGAATACACAGTGCCGTGCAATCGTGGTCCTTCTCCAGTTTGTGTGTGGGTGCGCGGCCAATAAACCATGAATGTTTGTTTTGTTTGTTCTTTTGAAGCGTTGTGGTAGCACGCCAGTATGCCAGTCTTTTTTTTTTTGTATAGCCGTGGTGAAAAAGGCGATCAAGCGGCCAGTGTGTTGGGTGAGAGTCAAAGTAGACGTTTGTGCGAATAAGAGGGAAAAGAGAAGGAATGATGTACAGGTGTAGTGCAAGGCAGAGGTTAAAATAGAGCAAATTGAAGCTACTCACCTCGTGAAACAAATCAGAGAACCAAAAAAGAAAACATTTAGAAATAGACTGAGATAAGCAAGGTGAATCAACCGAAGCACATAATGGGCAATTTTTAATAAAGCATAATTTATTCCTACGGGAGGTGGGAGCATCGTTAAAAGGCCCAACTGGCTTTAGTCTGCATTTTAACCTAGACGATCAGACGCTTGCTGATCGGCCAGGTCAGAGCTGAACAGTCGTGCCTTTCACTGCTCTAACGTGTGTGCTGCAGCTTATTGTGTCTCAGGTGTGCGGATGCTTTGAGGAGACGTGGGTAATGTTACATAACGTGGGAATTTCTCCGCAGCAGGGGCTGGAACCTCAATAGCACGAACAACTTTCGGCGGTCGCCAACGTAATAAATGCCGCATGTACCAGTAAAATGAGGTCGTCAAACCCCAGTACGGTAGAGACGGAAAGCGGAATTGTTTAGTAAAACGCGAGTTCAAAGTGTAAAACAAGGCCTAGATATCTTGAATTTGTTTTGAAGACGGGGAAGATGAGAAGAAAAAGCAAGATAGAGTATCAGCCATGAGTTCCACTAGGCCTGCTGTGTAGCAGCACTGAATAAATATCACCCTAGCAGCAGACTCAAATATGGTTCGGTGTTCACCGCCAAAGCAGCAAGCACACTATGCTTATACACACTCTCTAAATAAATCATGAGAATCATTGGGGGAGTGAAAACTTTTATTTTCAAGCGATATTCTTGGTAAGCACATGCGCACTTTTAAATGTTTGATGAACGAAGACACGAAGAAATGGGTTCATTGCACTGCAAGACGTGGAAATACAGCTGCCGTATCATAAGTGTATAGTAGACAAAATAAATAAACATAAAGGCAAGATTATAAGATGACCCGCACAAGAGTAAAACAGCAATAAATGCACACTAATACACATACAGTGCACAAAGCAGCACGTGAGTAGTTGCCGCAGCACTTGACACCGGCATGAAACAAAGAAAGAAAAAAAAATGTTGGCTGTGTTTTTTTTGTCACCTTTGAAAAAAAAATTTTCTCCCACGCACTTGTTAGTTTAAGGTTACAACGACGAATGCAAAACGCACTTTACAAAGTAATTATGGCATTCGTACCTAGTAGCAGCCAAGTTACGAGGCAGACGAAACAAGCGAAGACTACGACGCATTCGGCGCTCGTCATCACAAATCTTTCATTGCGTCTCGCTGCTGGTGTCCAGACTTCATTGCCTTAAGTGCTCATGAACACGGAGCGTGACAACGTCGACGCCTTGTGCACTTCTCTCGCATCCGATTCATGCCAGATCCTGCCCGACCATATGCGCGCAAGGTGATAAAGATGGATAAAAAGGTCCCAATCGCAGTTGCAAAGGCACGTAGACGTATTACTAGAGAAGATACTGTAGTAGGTAACTATTACGCGCGTTTCCTTGAAAGCAGTGAGTGATGTGTTGCCATCTTGCGGTTGGCGCGAAGCTGCGTAGCGCCGGCGCCTTTGGCCAGAGTGACCACTCTTAACTTTTGTTACTCTGGTATTACCACGGCGGTGGTCAAGCAGGATTGCCAACCATATGGCAATTGCCATATGTAATTACCAATGATTACCTTTGCATTAGTGTAACTATTGAAGTCACCTACTTGTGGGAACAGAAGACTCAAAACAAGAATTTTTTCTGATGACTAAGCTGATGTCAAAGCCATGATGATATGATATATAAATGGCAATCCCCCACAAAGGGGATGTGCTGAGAACCGGGCGGCAGGATGCTTTAAGTAATGAAACTAGGTGTTTAATGAGAATAAGGAGGAAAGGTCGGCCTTGAAAGCGGGTTTCTGGCCTGCTACTTTACACGGGGGTAAGGGGAAAAGGGAAAGAAGAGAGTATGATGAGGGGTGATTGTGGTATAGCACAATGAGTCACTGCACACAGTCTCGTTCGGTGTAGTACACGTCCAAAAGTCTCTACATTATCAGATTTTCTAAAGACGGGAATCTAAACCTGCCTTGCTTAGGAATGCGAGGAGGTCCTTCAAACTGCGTTGAGCGTTATCCACACGTTCCCAAGCACCCAAAAGTCTCTTTTGGGTGCTTAAGAGATTGTCTTTTACCTGCGTATAAAGGGCACACACACAGGATGTGATTAGTTTCTGGAGGGTTACACAAGTTGCAGTTAGGATTTTGCTCTTGTTATTAAAACTAAAATGAATAATAAAGATTAGAGCTATAACTTATGAAGGAAGAAAAGAAGGGCCTGGAAACTGTGACGCACACTTAACGCTAGGAGATTGGCCATGAACCGGGTAATTCTGACGAAGTACTTTTAATTTGTTAGCTCACGTTTTTTAAACTAGTAAGAGAGCAAGGGATAATTAAATATCAGAAATGAACAATTAGATATAACTTGCATAAAATGAAGCAGATGGTTTCAGAAACAATAAATAAATGAATGAGAAAAGAACTTTGAAAAGTAATTTAGGAGTTTTAATATGGTCCACAGTCTGAATCTTTTTGAAGCTTTAATAAACTTTTGCAAGGAATCGGCAACTTTCCCACCACTGAATCCTAGACACAAATCCCCCCACCCCAAAGTACATTTGGACTGTTTAACTGCAATCTTACGAGGCGGAACAATTACGGGAAGCAGCCAGACCAGCTCCGTGTAAATAAAAATTGAGATAAGGAGTTTGACACGTCAGCCTAGTGATAGTGACTTCAACTGCATGCGTATCACATATTTTACTGTTCAAACAATAATTTAGGTGTTGAAATTTTAATGTGTTTATTATGGTCGTCAAATAAAATTCTTCTAACCTCATTTTTCTCCTAAATATAGCTCCTGCAACGAATTTATATGCTGGTAAGTGAATAAACGGGACATTTAACCATGACGTAGCTAATAAATCCACCGTTTCATTGAGGAAAAGACCCTTAAGGCCTGGTACCCAAACGAATTTAACCAACTGTATACACGGTGGAGCTAATGATATGAAAGTACTCAGCACGTGGGAGTTCTTATTTGCAGTGAAAGAAAAACACACTGACAGCGAATCAGTTAAAAGTATGGCCGAACTAGTTGGTGCTGTTAATTTGCGAAGAGCCAACATTATCGCAAAAACTTCTGCTACGAAAATGGGTACAGAATCTGGAATATGTAGAGAAAAGGACCAATCTATAATAGGGGTGAATATCCCAATTCCACATTTCCCTTCAATTTTCGAAGCATCCGTCACAATGACTGTCTTTATTGGCGAATGAACCAGATAATCACTCAGAATGGAATTTAAAATGTGGTCTGACATTAGTTTCGCATGTTTTGTAAAATTTTCGTCAAACTATTTAGATAGAGCTATTGCTATCACTTATCGGAGATACAGCACTTATATGGAGATTTAAGTTGCAAAGGAAGCTTTGTATATAGAAAACTTGAGGCGTGTGAAATGTGGTCCAATATGCTCCAATGAACAACTCAGGCTGGAAGATCAAAACTGTTTCAGAACGTCTTGCTGGGGATTCATAAAGGTTTAAAAATGTACCACGAACAATTTGAAACACGAATCAAGTCATGAGAGTCTAGCTTCCAGATACAAGACTTTAATGGTTGCAAATTTAGGAAGACCTAAACACAGACGCAAGGCTTGCCTCTCAAGCATTATAAGAGGACGAAGCTCATAAGCAGGGGCACCAGCATATATTATGCATCCAAATTCAAGGACCGGCTGAAGGTACATGCAGTATATTGACAAAAGCGTATGCCTCCGCATGTCAAATTGACAATGACTAATCTTGCGTAACAAACCGACCAACTGAACACCCGTTGATGCTATATATGCATTCGATGTGTGCCTTCCAAGACATGGAGCAATCGTATAACACACCAAGGTAATAATTTATTTGCTCTACTTGCGGAATACACTACAATGATAACTAAGCGTAATATGAGTGGGGTCTTTCAAAGGAAATTGCAATACGGAGCATTTTCAGACGTTCAGATGCAGGTGTATTTCATCAGGCCACCCTTCTAGAGCTGACAAGTATGACTGTAGTACCTGGTACAGATTGACAATATCGTCGGCCGCAGCAGAAAATGCGATGTCATCCGCATAAACATACTTGTTTACATCCTAATGTCGGGGTATAAAACTCATTTGTATATTAAAAAATGAAATGGTGGTGGTGGTGGTGGTAGTGGTTCGGTGAAGAAAGGAAAAAAGATGCTTATTTCTTAAGCCCTTAAGAGAGCACGGCGCAGCGTACTGTAGGGGGGGGGGGAGCAGGGATAAAAATAATAGAAGGAAATAGACGAAGAGATAGAGAAGGCAAGCGACGGAAAAAAGGAGATAAGGAAGAGGGGATCCGGTCGAAGCAGTACGAGGACGGGGCACCATAATGCGAAAGCTTCATGGCGTCGGGAGACCGTGGAGGGCGAACCAGTCGGCGGGAGCAACGCTGTCGTCTGAGACCACGAGGGCAAAACCGTCCAGCTTGAAATCCTCCGAGCGAATCCTAAAACTAGAGAAAGGACTGCCTCTTGTGGAACGCCTCGTGTTTGCACGTACGTAGACGAGGAAATGCCGCTTTTGAAAACAAAACTGTCCGATTACGCAAGAATTCCTCAATCCATGCCATAATGTACTTTGGAAGTTTCATGGTGTGCAACTGGTTAACTAAAACTACATGCTCAACGCTGTCGTACGCTTTCGCGATGTCCAACGAAACTAATGCGGCATACTTTCTTTCACGCCGAGCTAGCTCATTGACTTTCAATATATATATAGGTGCATGTCATATCGAGCACCCTTATCTGGAGCCAATTTGACAGATATAGAATATTTTTTTCTTTTTATTCAACTTTAATATACGGATGGTGAACACTCATTTATTCAATTTCACAAACAGTGAGTTTAGCGCAACCGCCCTAATATTGTCAAGTTCCTACCCGCTATCTAGAATTTTAAGCAGTGGTATCGCCTTAGCTATTTTCCAAGCCGGAGGAATTCAAGCCATCCTGACTGAGTAGTTCATAACATCTAATAAAATCTCTTGATATTCTGTATTTCACAATTTTAAAACGGCCAACGTGACTCCATCAGGGCCCAGAGCCACTGATGAAATGTTATCCACTACCTCTGGTAATTCAGAACTGGAAATTTCAATGAAGTCGTTGCTTTGGCGGTGACAATAACTGGGAAGAAAAGCGCTGCTCTGATCCCCTACCAATAATATCTAACGAATCTTTGATTTGCTCCAAAGACAAAATAATATACTGTGCACATAGGTCACGGTATCATTTTTTTACGGGGAAATCTATAGAGTGCGCGCTTAATGTTTGATTTAGATAAATACTCGAACATCCGAATGTCGTAACTTTCTTTTGCTTGTTAGACTGTTCTTTTAAAAACTCCAGCGTAAAACTGGTAGTCCTTCCAGTTTTGGAAGTATTGATTGAATGAAAGATTTTTCCGGGCTGCCTTTATACGCCTGTAGTTCCTGGAACAATCATGATTCCACTACGGTGAATTACCGTTCTGCTTCACAGATGTCACCGTTAATTCAGATTGTTCGTGGGAATTCTGCAAAACTGTACAAATGCTTATAACTTTTGATTTTGTAAGAAAGCAAACACTTTTTAAATATAGTAAAACTTATTAATGTACATGCATTGCAAGCTGCTGATACTACCGGAGTTCTTATTTCATAAGTAATCGGTATATGATTGCTGTTTGTTGCGCAGTTAACTACGGACCAACCCGAAACACTAAAACATGCGTTTGCAAAAGTACGATCCAATGAAGAAGATCTGTTACCTCTCAAGTACGGTGGTGTTCCTGAGTTGAAGCAGGTGAGATTATTTTGAGACAAGTCTCACAAATGGTTGCCACACGCATCAGCTTTTGCACCCCATGTGACATAATGAGCGTTACAATCTCTTGCCAATAAAATATTCCTTGCACACGGGCCAATTAGAGTGTCCAATGGCCTGCTGTCATGTACACCTGACGGAAAATAAACATTGGCAGTTGAAAAAGTTTGACGAGAAAGTAGAGTTATCTTTAAAACTAAAATTTTATATTCAGGGGACAGTAGCTTTAACGTTACTTTAGCTTTATGACAAAGTTCCCTTGATAACATTATCATTATTCCACCACCTCTCCAAGGGCAGTCTTGCATAAAGAAACGGTAATTCTTGACATAAAAGCTGTTGTTTGGAATAGTACAACTTTCTTGCAACAAAATAAATCAGAACTCAGCTGAGAACTGAGACGGTGTAAATCAGTGAATTCAGCAAATATCGAACGAAAATTTTACTGTAAAACTCTCAAAGATGCAATTTTGCTGAAAAAATTGTTGTGGATACAGCTTTCTTCAAGATACTCTCCTTCAAAAATTCACTGGCCGGATTCTTTTTTGATTTCGCCTGGAGAGACGTATAGTTTCCATGGTTCAGCGAAGATCGGCTGCATTTCTGAGTACAGGCATCGATTGCCCTATCAGTAGATACGTTCAAGTCCAGCACGGGTTCCTGACCATTAGCCCATGAGCACGCAATTGAGCCATGGCATCCATCAGGGGCGTGCACCTTATCACCTATCAGATTTACCTCATTGGTGGTAGGGTGTATATACGACACGAGAGGATCGCTTGGTTGCGGGGTTCTAAGCTTCACCATTTGATTGTTTGACTTGAGCAATACATTCGCCAATGCTCTAGTTTATCAATCACCCTAGCCATAGTTTTTCCTACAGCAACCTCGACTGCTTGTGCAATTCTTGTTTTCGTGAACGTTTGACGTGCTGTAGCGCCAGCATAACCATACTCCCTTTCCTCGATAATTGCCATTGCCTCCTTCCTAGAGCATCTCCTTTTATCAACGACCTCGAGAACTTGCATTTCTTGTTGTCTAATTGGACAATCTGAGTAGTCAGCAGCTTGTTGACCACCACACAAACAACAGATGTCCTCTTGTGACGTACATTCTCGATTTGCGTGGTCTACACCACATCTCCTGCATCACCCCTCTGATTTACAGCCACCGGCACTATGACCGAACCTTGTTCTTGTTCTTGTTGCCCTTCATTTGTGGCTTATACCCACTGTGGGGGATACAGCAGTTCCCAGTTTCTCTGTCTCTTTGTCTTTCTAGGGATGCGGAAGGAACAAAAGGGGGAAGGCAGGGATGTTAGCCAGAAAGACATCCGGTTGGCTACCCTACACTGGGGGATTAGGGAAGGGGACAAGAAAGATGAGAAAAAGGAAAGAGAAGGAAACGAAAAAACAAGGAGAGACTGGCAGTAATTTCACTGCATTCTATAGAATTTCACCGCATGTCAAAGGCATTCACACAAACCCGCCTTTCTCAAGAAACACAAGAGGGCCTTCATTGTCTTGTGGGCTGTCGAGGGATGTGGACGTTGCTGTAATAGCACCTGCATAGAAAGAGGCCGATCATCCAGTCACCGCATTGCGTTGGCAAGTACTTGTCTGTCGGGGGCATATCGAGGACAGTGGCACAGCAGGTGTTCGATATTTTCATCGGTGCCACAAACATCGCATGCCACACTGTCGGTCATGCCGATTAACGTGGGACGTGAAGCACGCTGCCCACTATACACCGTAATGTAGTAGGGTATTTTTGGAATTTTTCAGGCAGCATGAGGTAGTAGGGCTGGGATTTTCTTGTCATGCGTTACTTTCCACTTTTCATTAGTCGTCGATCAGCAAAAAATGTAGATAATCGACGCGACATCACCAAGGGTGACGAAATACGTCCGAGAATAAAAAAAATTTCTTTGAATAGCACCAGAACTGTCTTAATTTGCATGTCCCCAGCACATGAGGAATGTGGAAATAATATGTCAATCTATCTAGGGTGGGGTGATCAATACAGTCGGTGAAGACGAAAAAGGTGGTTTTTGCCTTCGAGGGATCTTAGGTGAGGGTGCATTGGAAGGAAACATGCGAGTTTTTTTTTATTATGAGAAGAGTGCCCCTTTTGTGATTGGGCGGTGACCTGCACTGCACTAAGCTGAAGGTTTTAATAATAATAATAATAATAATAATAATAATAATAATAATAATAATAATAATATAATAATAATAATAATAATAATAATAATAATAATAATAATAATAATAATAATAATAATAATGATAATAATGATAATAATGATAATAATGATAATAATGATAATATAATAATAACAATAATAATAATAATAATAATAATAATAATAATAATAATAATAATAATAATATAATAATAATATTAACAATAATAATAATAATAATAAATGCTGTTGCTCTGTTTAATGTTGTACCATATAATCTTGGTCAGACGAATTCATTGTTTTCGTCCCGAAAAAAAAAATGCCCCGCCGCGCTGTTCTAGTGGGTTAGGTGCTGCTGACCTCCAGGTCGCGAGATCGAATCCTGGCTGCAGCGGCTGTTTTTTCGATGGAGGTGCAAATGCTGTGGGGCCCATGTGCCCAGACTTGGGCGGCATGTTAAAGAACCTGAAGTGGTCTAAATTTCCGGATCCCTTCACTACGGCGTCTCATAATATGGTGGTTTAGGGACGTTAAATATCATCATAAAAAACCTGACAAATTCACAGCCCAGCGTTCTCAGCCTTAGCGTAGTTTAACGTTAGTTTACCGGCTTTTTGTCATGTGCCTACTTTTCCGCCACCGATCCCCCAGTCATCTTTTACTTATTTCATTTGCTGATCTGTCTGCCTTTACAGTGTTGTTCCTAAAGACCAAGATTGCATGTACATGTATCGTGGCGAAGTACATCCACCCGGGCGGATATATTCACTCAGTTAAAAATCTCCCGTTCACTCACCTTCTTCGCGCATGTGCATTTGTCTTCTTTACTGAATCTCGCTATATAGCTACGCGTACTATACGGCGACCATACCTCGCTTCAAACTGAAAAAAACACCCCCGTGAGTGCTCGTAAAATGTGCTCTTGGTTATGTCGGCTTTACTATTTCGGTGGTTACCCAGAAAAGGGAGTTATTTCCATCTCTGCTACTGATGTTTGCCGCCTGCCTGGTGTTTCGCTTAACGCTCTTTGCACCATGTCGCTTGCAATACCAGCCGTCTACTTGGTGATGAGTCTCCTAGTTCTTTTTCTCAACTGTGAGTCAACTTTATTCACATACAGATACCCATGCCAGAACGCTTACTATACCCGTATGCCAACCACGTGCCTCATTTTGTGACACTCCTGTCATATATATATCGTAACTGCCTGCCAACCGAATATACAGCTCCAGCCAGAGTTCCAACTCTCCCATGATGTATTACTCATCCACAGGTTTGACTCAGTTCCAGAAATATGGTCAGAAGCCCAGACCTTGTATTCAGTGCTCAAACAACTTTCTCTTTTTTTGTTGTTGTACGAGACGTACAGTGAGCACAGCCATCTGTATGTTGACGCCTCAACCATTATGCATGGGTTTCCAGGGTCGGTGATCTTTCTTACAACAGCAACCACCACGAAGATTTGGTTAACCCAGCAAATGACATCGACAGCTGCGGAACTTGCTGCTCTGCGTAGCGCCTTGTAATTCACCGTCAACCAGTAAAAAATGCAGCGTGTTTATGGATTCTAATGCAGCTCTACAGTGATTGATACTAGCCTTCCGCCGGGGACCTTATGAACAACTAGTGTTGCGAATTAGAGAACTGCTCCTCCACCTTTTTATCCAATGACATGACGTCACGTTTCAGTGGCTTCCAAGTCACTGTGGCAAGTCGGACAACGAACGTGCCGATGCTCCCATGAAAATAAGAAATATTGCTAATGAGGACTTAAAATCCTTGTGGAACGTACAAAGTCTACTGCATAGACTTAACCCGTCTCGTCGATCCCTCGTCCGGGCTCTCTCGATTCGAGACAATGGTGCTTTGCCGCTGTGGCTCGGTGCCGCTTCCACCAAATCTAGTGACTGTCAAATTGGCAAGGAAGACAGTGCTGCTTGCGACCATTGCGGCAGCGATGAAATGATAGACTACGTGATTAGTCGCTGCCCTCGCTACAGCGCGCACAGACGGCCGCTAGATGCTGCGTTGGCCTGCCTTGACGACAGAGCCTTGTCAGAACAGTCAGGGCTCGAATGCTGACACGAACGGTCTTCGCCCAAAAAATTAATCAAAGCCTTAGTGAACTTTTTATGTGGCAGTTATAGTATTGCCACTCTAGTTTCTCTTCGTTTTTCTTTTTCTAGCGAGTACACTTTTCTCTTCGCTTTCCGAGACTCTTCCTTCCCCACTCCCCCTCCCCTTAGTGCAAAGTAGCAAACTGAATGTTACAATTTGGGTTGACCTGCCTACCTTTCGCTCATTTTATTATCTATGTCTCTCCCTTACCTATACCAGAGCGGTCTTCCCATACCGGACCCCGTTTTCTACCCATCTTTTGTGATGTTCTTTATCATCCCTACGGAATTTTTTTTTAATAGCTTCCGACTTCAGCGCCACTACCTTCTGCGTGTGCAACTATGAATTGTTGGCAGTGTATACCTTTATGTTGTTAAGCTGTGCTCTTTTTAGGAGCAGGGTAAAGTGTAGGGTCAAAAAAAAAAATCTGTAGGGTAAAGTCCCGTAATTTTGATTGTGACGTTGGGTACTTTCTAAAAATTTGGTGACAACACTATGACCAAGTGGTCAGAGTTCAGCGCTTATGCGTGTGGTTCGTGGCTCGATTCGCCGGGCAGCCAGTGGTTTACCAATAAAATGAGAGGCTTCCGACCCAGCACAGGCTGCGGTGGCTGCATTTCCGATGGAGGCGGAAATGTTGTAGGCCCGTGTGCTCAGATTTGGGTGCACGTTAAAGAACCACAGGTGGTCGAAATTTTCGGAGCCCTCCACTACAGCGTCTATCATAATCATACGGTGGTTTTGGGACGTAAAACCACTAAAATTATCTTTCAGGACGTACGTTGGGGTGTGTCGCGGGAGGAACTAGAGAAAACATCGCAGGTGAAGCTCGGGGCAGCAACCAGGTGGAAATGGTGCGAGGGCAAAATAGACGCTATAAATACGTTCTATGCATCACTCTATAGATATGACATGGTTCAATTTACTTGTTAGTTTTAAGTAAACAAGTTTTTACACGGTGTAATAGGCCACTAAGCATGAACAGGCCACCTGGTTTTCATGAACGTGCGCTGAACGCAAGGCAGTACAGCGTTTCTTGCCTTGTTAACCGATAAGAACGCTTTGCTGCATTCAACAGCCTAACGGCCATAGTGTATTCATTGGACTTGGTCGCTTCGAACTTCCTTGAGAAGCATAAGGTGGTATGAGATTTTGAGAGAGAGTTTCAAAGTTTGGCTCTAGGGTAGTATAAGCTAATAGTTATGCAATTTTTAAGGTATTTTAAAGGTAGACGAGGGTTCCATAATGCATCAGAGCTCGAAGTTTGTTCCAAATAGTGTTTAGTATTTGAAAAAATTGTTACTTTGCATATGTACTTTTTTATAAGAACTATCTTTGGAGCGTTGCAAAATTTTTAAAAAGTTAACTACGAACAATTTACAGCAGTGGAACTAAAATTGTGAGCGTGGAGGAAAAATTATTTCTTTACGTTTACTGGGGCATGATTCTTTACGTTTACTGGGGCATGAAAATTGCCACTTACGAATGTTTTTATACTAAGAATACAAAGGCGCATAAGCTACTGATCCTAGTATAATTTATGTATATGCCGTTAACACATGAAAAATGTTTTGTTTGCTTATGCCCGCTATTTGCCGAGAAAAAGGTGCATGAATTTCAAAAATTTTGTTTTGAGAGAAATACAGAAATGACTTAAGAGTAGTCGCGAATTACCTGTCAACGTGTCAAAAAAGAACCAAAAACTCTTTTTGAAACTGAGCTAAGTGTGACATATGTTATGAACGTTTAATAAATTCTTCGTCGGGTGATTGCGAAATTCACATTTTTTTTGACGAAAGGAAGTTTCACCCCACCTTAATTGCGCATGTGTGCTATGTTTTTATAAGCTTGATTTCATTTTCCTCAAAGATAAAAGTAGCTAAGGGAACGCTAGTTAATATAAATTAGGGCATCACTCAAGCGATTAGTATTGTCTACTCTGATAATTTGTCGTTTCATTGTTTTGCAAGCACCCAGTGCAGTGCAGAAACACTGGTGAAATAGCCTTGCTGAAACAATCGCAACAGGCTGGGAACAATACTTGTAGGCACTAAGTGTTTACTTTTACCCTTATGGCATCCTTCTTCGCAGGGATACTACTGCTTCACTTGGCATACCTCGTCAGGCGACAAATGCGTCCGCGGGACTGGAGCCATCGCACCGAGGCGGTTATCGAAGTTAGTGAAGCGCCATCATGGCGGCGGTGGCCCATCTTGCCTGAAGAAGATATGTATTTCAAACTCTACTAGTGGTGCCGAGTGGAAGACAGTGGTATCCAGGGACATCCAAAAGCTTAGCTGCACCTATCCACGCCTATGCGAGATTTCCCTCAACGGCTTTAGCTTCGGCGCCGCACATCGGAAGCGACGCATCAAGTTTCGAGACTTCCCCAAGCACCTGATGTACCTCTCTTTGCGCAATTGCGTTCTCGACATGAAGACGTTCTTCTCGACAGGAGTCATCGAAAACAGCGAATTGACAGCCCTTGACCTGGGTCGATGCTTTTTTCTCAATGATAACAAGTCTCGCAGCAAAAGGAGAGTGACTTGGCCATTGCTTCCATTGCTCGAGAGATTGTGTCTGGAAGGTTACCCGTTTCTCATTTCTGAAGCTCTCCTGAGTGATGTGCTGCTTGGATGCCCGTCGCTGCAGGTGCTCGACTTGGAAGGCACATCTCTGCAAAGTTCTGCTGATGTCGCACTCATCGGACGGTGCCTGCCGAAGCTCAGCGAACTTTTCATTGGGTGGACAGACGTGAACGACTCTTCATTTCTAGCATTGGAGCGAGGATGTTTCGATGAGCTTCTTACGTTGTGTCTCGTGGGAACTCATATGACGAACTTGGGTGTGCTGGCGGTCTGTGGTATTTGTCCGCGCTTGCGTACAATCCGTGTGACTATGGGACGCTGGGCTGCCAGGAAACTTGAAAAAGTGGATGTCTGTCACTCTGTGAGCATTGAGATTGCCTGCTTCAGGAGCGACAATGTGCGCGCGTTTATACGAAACGAAGGGTGCGAGCACTTCAACCAACACGTGAGGCGAGCGCTGACATGACTAAGGCAGGTATAGAGACAAAACTGGATGCGTATGCACCAGTAACATGGCAAGTGCTTCACAAATGTTAGATCACTTGCTTTTGCATACGCATGCTTACTGCAACTCGATTCTTGTTGCGCTCAACAGACACACATGCTGTAAAGATAGCACAGAATTTCGGTAGTGTGTTTGTAATTATATAGAGTGACAAATACGTAAATGTCAATGAACAGCTAGTCTCTACGTATTACGGCTGGTACACTGTATTAATGTTCGCTAATACTAGATGTATGCTGTAGAAAAGGACAATCTGTGCCTCGAAACGAAGCACAGTGCTTTGAAATGCTATTTTAACATTTACATTCCGTAGGCGTTATTGCGCGACACGAGTGTTTTACTTTTTCTGTAGCTGTACTCGTGTCACCCAAATGAAAAAAAAAGCTACATATGACCACTGTATGCGTATACTGGCAAACAGCGCCGGCAGAATAAAGTGAATGAGGGTATGTTTTTACCTTTTTTCCGTCTATCTCTAGGAAGCACTGCACAACGTATACAAAGAATTAGAACCTGTGGACTTTCCCAGACGCAGCTGAGTCGAGGTGAGTGGAAAAGCACGAACAGGTTTGCATATTTACAAACAAATGACTGCCACCACATTGGAACTACGACAAATACGAACTTCCGCGATGGACAATGCCTTTGCCACGGAAGAGCAAGTGTCATTTCCGCCGAAGCAGCTGCGGCGACTGAATAAACCATTCAAGTTGCAACCGCATAATACGCGCAGTTCACGGTGTGAACGACACGTCAGCACGCGAGGTTGGCAAGCGAGGTGCGATAAAAAGGAGAAAAAAAATCTTGGTGCTTTTTTCCTTGCAATAGCAGCAGCTACAAACTCTGCGGTATCAAAAATAACGTTGTTGAATTGTGATGCGAACTAACATGTATTTACTACATGAAACATGTGTACGATTTGCACATAAGCAGCCGATTAGTTTACTTGACGCTTTTTCCTCGTGATGTTGCATCTGCATGCCTTAACTCTTGCAATTCTGAACGCCGCTGGTAAAACCCTCCCCAACTTACACAATTAGTAAAAGCGTAAGTAAAAGCGCGGCTTGCACCATTTACAATTTCTTGAACTCAAAAACTTTGATAAGTGCATTTGTGCAGATCTGCATAGATGCACTGACCTGGTAAATACAGCGATTGACCTCTTTATTTAAAGAGACACCAAAGAGAAAAACAATGGTTTGGTTTAGACTGACAAACTGCTTTCGGAGAGATCTAAAGTCTTATGTTTCATTATCATACGTTCAGTATTGGTGGGGAAAATTGGGGTTTTAGTTTCATATTTAAATTTCGCGCCGAAATGTCTGCGCGTGACGCAACAAATTTGTATTTTTTGTATTTTTGCAACACTGGCTTGATGAAATTTTGTGAAGCTTTGTTAGGTCTATGGCACCCGCAGATGACAAGGTACCGCATATTTGTCAATTAGAAGCTGCGCAGAACCCAGTAGACACCTTCAAAATTTATGACGTCACCGTATTAGGTGCGGGAATCTCGAGGTGGCTCCACCCACGTTTTGTTTTTGTGCTTGCAGAACGTCGTGTCATGGTAAGGGTGGTGTTTTCAGGATTGGCAAATTGTACTTTAGTGATAGCGAAAAATAGTTTCCTCTGTAGTACCCCTCGAAAGGTCCAGTGTACTGAAAAAAGAAGTTTCGTGTTTTAATAAAAAACTGCACCTGCGCAGGGCTCGCAGCGGAGGTGCGTGTATATATATATATATAAAGTACGTGTGGGCATATGGGTCATGACAATGTGCGCTTTTTTTGTGTACCCCATGAGTACTATGGCTAAACAATTTTGCTCAAAAAACCTTTCAAGACAGCGGCGTTCCAATGAACGGCTGTCCAGAAACTAGTTTATTTTTGGAGGAACGGAGCAACACCGCCGTTCTATTCAGGACCGGTGGAACTGTAACGGGAACGCGTTACATCTACGATGGAATGGCAAGGAGAGTGGAGCTCCTTCCTTAAACGTTCCATCACATTAAACAGGGTGAGCACAGGCACGCAATATATCCAAGTCAAACAGTGTGGATGACCGACCGTGGTAGGAACAAGAATGTGCCGCTCACCTGTCGCGGGCACTACACCGCATCGTGACTTTCACTTCAAGGCGCCTGCCAAAGGCGTAGGGAAGCGCGTGACGCCGATACTGACCGCGTGAGGGCGGGACAGTTGATTTTGCTGAGAGCGGCTATGCTTTCAGGTTTCCCATTTGTCGTAGAAACAAAATCGTGAGCCAGTACGCGCTCTCTTCACCCTCTGCTTCGATGTCACATGGCATACACTAATTTGTTCAGCGTGGGATGCAATAACTCCAATGGGCGAGAGAACGAGTAAAGAGAAGGTGACAGAAAGATATATAGAGAAACAAGAAAAAAATCCTTGGCAAAAAATATTTTCCGTGAGGCGACATCCAAAACCACCTACCCACGGTGAGTGTCATTTGAAGGTGAGTGTCGTAACCACTCGGGTATCCAGTTTGTTACTTTTTCTTTCATGGGATTTATTTATTATAGACATGACACTTTGAAGGCGTTCAAAACAGACAGATAACTGATATGCGTTCATTCTGCTCGTATCGTGGTTCAACCAAGAACACACAGCACTAAGCAATTAGTGGTTCTCTCTAGAGCGAATATATCAAGCGGTGGCATTTTTCTGATGATACACCACTACGGCGGGGAGGATGAATCCAAGCACCTCACCAATGCAAATGCCATTTCGGATGGCTTTCCGTTTGCTCGTATATATGTCTTATCTGAATGACCATGCTAATCAAGTGGGATGTTCAGGACATCATTGGCTATGCTGCTTCTGCTGCTGCGGAGCACGCCGAGGAGCACGCAACTAAGGAGCACGCAAGCTGCAGTTCAACATGATTGCCCGGTTGTCTGTGAAACATTTGACTCGGGGCGTTTTACTTCAATTACTCTTACCTATACTTATAATTTGATGTCGGTGATATCAAATTCGTGTAATATATACTGCTTGATGTGAGCTTTAAGTTGCTTTTTTTTATTTCGCTTCAGACAAAATACGTTTTTATAAAAAAAAAGTGAAATGTACCGCGAATGAAACGACATGTTCGAATTTTCGAAATGTAACAGCAACGCGTCTTTCGCACTACAAGGACTTGTGAAGGGAGCTCATTTCAAAATTCGGTAGGAACGAGGAACGAGCTTACTTTCCAGTTGTAGAGGAATGTGTATACAACACTGTGCGTAATAAAAATTGGACATATTACAAGCTATATTTTTGCGTATTAAACTTTGAAACAGTGCTCACGCTACTACAGAGGCTCCGTTTAGTTGGACTATTGAACAATTCCTAAAGTTTTCTTTAACTGCGTGCTAATTCATGACGCCCTGATGGACCTAAAATTTTCCCACACCATACCATACCATACCATACCATACCATACCATACCATACCATACCAAGTGCGTATATTAAAAAAAAATCAAAGTTTGTGCTTTATTCTTCAGCTAACTCAAACTCCACCTAAGTAATGAATATGATGTCAAAATCAAGCACGAAAGAAGGAAATAACGGTAGAATAATCGCTTGAAACGGAGAGTCGATCATTCAGAGAAGTAAGCTTGCAAGGTCAGACGTCACGGTAGAATAAACGCTTGAGACGGAGAGTCATCCAGAGCTCTAGGCTATAGGCTAAGCTCGCAAGGTCAGAAGTTTGAATTCCCCCCCCCCCCCCTTTTTTTAACTAATCCCTAGAAAGATGGAGTTGGGAACAAATAAGAGAAAACCAGAAGAGCTACCAGTAATGTGAGGTTGATGACTGATAAGCAGTCATGTATTCTACAGCGCTCATAAAGGGCGAATGAACCCCTTGTACTAAGCGAGAGAGAGAGAGAGAAAAAGATATGGTATGAAGAAAGGCAGGGAGGTTAACCAAAAAGCAAGTGTCTGGTTTGCTACCCTGCACTGGGGAGGAGGAAATGAGAGACAGAAAAGTAAGGAAAAGGGAATGAGAGAAAGAGAGCGGGACCAAAGCGAAGCAGGCAAAAGATCCTTGGTTCGTATTGTTAGGAAGGCGAGACGCCAACATGGTCCCGGAGGCGCCACTGCTCCTAACTCCGCCGCCAAGGTCGCCAGCCGTTTGGTAGCTAAGTTTCCCGGCTCGCGACTGCTTCTGGGCAGAGCTGATAGACGAGTGGACGAGACGACGGCGAGTTAAGGCAAGGTTTATTGTATAGCATAGAAATAGAGGCGTCACAAATTTGACACTGGGGCCGACAGCTTAGGTACTCGAAGAGCCGAGATGTCTTTTCTCACACGCATCTGTCGGCTTCTCTCTCTGTTACGAAGCGCACCGCCGACGAGGTTACGAAGGGCGCTACGAAACTCGCCGCTGCCAAGAACCCCGGGCGCGCCGACTGCGAAAGGGGCTCGAAGAAATGAGAGGCTCTTCTGACACATAGGTCTACTGCTGGCGACGCACTGCAGGGCTGTTTTAATAGGCACCGGGTGGATCCTTTGAGTCACCAACGTCCAGCCAGAAGCGCCACTGGCCATGACGTCAAAATCCTCTAATGGGGCCCGCCACTGGGCCACGTCATGCTCATCAAATCCGGAGCCGCTGCGCGTGGTTGCAGCCAAGGACGAATGACGTTCCCACGCATTGCGTAAGACTCGCCAGACTGGAAGGCGCCGATTGCTTCAACGGGCTCGTGGGCTGAGGGAGCTCGCTGTGCGTTACGTGACAGACCGGCGCTGCCGCTTGATGACGTCGTTGAGTCGATCCTCTCAGGCGGGCTCTATTGCTGGCCTTGACATCGATTGCCTTTGCAGAGCCATTGACGTTCGGTGTTGACTCCCGGGCGTAACAGTATGCCGGCGCCGGACTAATCTCAACCATATATTCATTAAAACGCGAACCAGGGAGCCATTAAAAAAGTCTGGGGTGTGACCTCACTGGCGATAACCTGCCTGCAATGCAATCCCCCCACCAGAGCAGGATTGTCCACCCTGTTGCACTACTTGGTCACCACCTCCCACGAAATTGCCAATTAGCCCTCGGCCCTCAGTCCCCAGCGGCTGCGAAGCAACGGTCCAACGCGGCGGCCAGAAGTGCGACGCAGTATAGGGTGCTACGAATCCTTGGGTCCGGCCAGGCCACCATGGGAATCTAAACTTGGCTGCGTTTAACGCTAGAACGCTATTCAGTGAGGCTAGTCTAGCTGTACTGTTTGAAGAATTAGAAGGTGTGAAATGGCATGTAATAGCGCTGAGCGACGTAAGGAAGAAACATAAAGCTTATGCAGTGCTGAAGAACGGACATGTCCTACGCTACCGTGAATTTGTTGACAGAAGAGAACTAGGAGTGTGGTTCCTTAACCACAACAATATCGCTGGCAACATATAGTAATACTATAGCATCAGTGAGAGGGTGGCAAGTATTGTAATTAGGATAAACAAATGGTACAGGATGAGAGTGGTACACGCCCACGCGCTATACATCGAGGCATGATGATCATATGGTTGAACGCTTGTACGAAGGCGTAGAGTCAGCAATTATTAAATTAAAGACACATTATTCTTATATTGATGATCGACTTTAATGCCAAAGTATAGGCAAGAAACAGGTTGGAGACCATGCAGTGTGTGAGTATGGCATTGGCTCAAAGAATGCCAGAAGGGAGTTATTAGTTGAATTCGCAGAACGTAATAATTTACGGATCTTGAATACTTTCTACAGAAAACGGGCAAACTGTATGTGGACGTGGCGGAGCCCAAATGACGAAACTAAAAATGAAATAAACATTATTCTCTGTGCACACGTGGGCATTGTACAAGATGTAGAAGTAGTTGGCATATTCCGATGCAGTCACCATA